TGGCGGTGGCGGGTGGTGGTGTGCAAAAAAGTGTCGGCTCCGGCGTCAGTGGTGTGTGCGTCTCTCTGGTGTGTGCGAAGGAAACCGCCCTCGTCGTTAACCGTCGTCCGTTCCTCCGTCGCCGGTGGGATTTTTTCTCCTTACCTCGCGCCTTCCCGCGTCGGCGACGCCTGTGCACGACGTCGAGCGTCGTCGGGCGTCGAGCGCGACGAAATGAGGGCCCGGCGATGCGCGCTTCGCACCTGCGTACAAGATACCGCAGCACGTCGATGCATCGCACGTGGACCATGGACGTGCCGCCGCTACCGCCGGCGCCGCCATCAGGTGAGGTGAGGAGAGGAGAGCGAGTGAGTAGACGCGACATCGAAAACGCGGGTCGGAGGTCGAAACACTTGACGCGGACGATGCGCTCTCGCTTTTCTTCTTTTTTTTCTCTTTCAAGTGCCAATTCGGATCAGCGCGACGCGGCGACGCTCGCCGAGATATCGCAGATCGAGGAATGGTGCAGCTTGCGCCTGAATAAAAATTAGGATGCAACCGACGATTGCTCTTCATCTCTAACAGTCAATTTTTCTTCTCTATCGCTCTTCCACCCGATAACGATTACTCCGGATGAATTAATTCCGATTCCGTGGACGCAGTCCGACGTCGTCGACAAAAATCAGATACTGTTGATTCAACCCTTAAACGCAACCCTTCCGCGAGAGTCTGGACACGGTCCACGTGAATCATCGCGTCGACATTGTTCGTCGGACCGACACGCTGCTCCATATCGTACACGGCGTCCTCCACATCGATTCGCTCTCATCCCCCTCCCTCCTTCTATCCCATTTGCTTATCAATTTTAGAATTTTATGCAACACGGACGATTTTGGGAGTCGACCGCATGAATGGTTTTTCCACCTGCAGCCGTGGGACATATCTGAACGTTTTCCAAAAAACTGGACTTCAAATTGAATTATATATGTACTAGCTTACAAAATGGCGGAAAACATTAAGTCCGCTATAATTTTAATTATTGAAACGTCGCGACGTTAGAGTGATTCAACATTGACTGTCGTCAGGTTTTGTTTAACTGAAGCAACGATGTCTTATTAAATACTTTCTTTCAGCTATACAGATTTTCTCAGAGATAAATGAACTTACGCGACGCAAGAAGGAGATATGAAATGGCGGAAAATGTTAAGCCTATACTTTTAACCATTGGCCATTTGTTTTATTACAATACCTTAGCTACAGGAAAAAAGAAATGTCAAATCAAAATTTATATACTCATATCTATATACGCAACAACGGGTACTTCTTATAAAAATTTCAACTTTTTATTTCAACTTGTTTTCTTGGTTGAACTAATAAATGACTTCATTCAAGTAAGTTTTCTTCGTTTAACAATATATATTTCATTTCAAGATTATATATTGTTACGTATATATACGAATATATAAGTGTTGATTTGATAGGGGTAAACAGTACACAGTTGTTGACCACTCTAAAAAATTAATGTTTTTTAATTATAAAAAAATAATAATTATAATATTTTTATATTTATAATTAAAAACATTTTATTAGTATTTTTTTATAATCTTTAATTTTTTAAGATGTGGCCAATCACTGTAGAGTGGCCTGCAACAACTATACTGTTTACCCCTACTTTTTTTTCTGTGTATTAGATGAGTTAGAAACCTTTTTCTTCAGCGCAATAGCCAAGAAGTCATTCGGAAGAATGCTTTTCTATAATATCGGTTTGCACAAAGAAAAGCGTAAGACGTATTTATTATTTCCAAGAGGGAAGTATATATAAGGCTAAGTCTATAGCCCCTAGTTACCTCGACCTAGGTCTTTTGTAACTGCTCCCTTTCTTTAGAATAGGTTCAAGCTATAATTAATAAACTATTAATAAGCTATTAATAAACTTTAAAATGACTCTAGGGTGTCTCTTTATTTTGTCAGGTATTGCAAAATTAAAACGTATTAAAAAACTTAGAGTTAAAGATTTGTAGAAGAATATAAACTTTCTCTCGTCATTGTATAAAAGCTATTTCGTAAACCGATTAAATCAACTGCATGCGTCGGCTATACGTCATATCGCGTCGTTTAAAACTCTCCATTCTCTTAAACCTTTTTTTACACCTATTATTTATTTATCGTTCGTCCATGAGGGGTAATGACATCAGAAACCAGAACTGGACGTTTCGTCCCCGTATCTAAGTATACGCGACCCGAAAGGATCGCGAGTTCTCGCGTGCATCCTCACAGCCACCTTTTATCTCGTTCTCCCGATAACGCTTCCGGCACACCCGTTACTTCGTGGCGTGCATAAAATCGCTGCGGATGACTAGGTGCACTTCTGAGTACTTAGCGTAATGAATAAGACGAACAGTCTCGGCCGACGAGCGGTCATTAAACGCTTCCGACGTATTTGAATACGGCAACGTTTCAGAAAACGTTTGGCCTCGCAGAAACTGAGAAAGAAAAAGAGATAGACGGATATCGCGCTCTGAGGAAGAGACGCCCAACCTTCCTCCCGTAACCCTCTCGCGTAATTTATCGCGTACCGTAAATTACAGCCGCCTAAAAAAATTATATAATTTGCATTTAGCGCTTATGTGTTAAACGATCTACGAGAACTGCACAAATATAAATACTAATAAGAACTTTCTGCAAAAGTCGAAAGGTTTAAAAGAGACCTATGTCCAGCAATGAACAAGATCGCCTGATTGATGATAATTGCCGGTATTCATATAGTCCGTTCTTATTATATTTCAAGACCGTCTTAAGTAATGTCTTAAGATGCTGATATGGCTCTGTGGGTGGTGCATATTCATAGTCAAATCTTATATTTAAGATCGTCTCAAGTTTATTTTTAGATAATGTATAACTCATTTCATTGGCTACGGAGTATGTAAAGGTAAACTTAAGATGAGCTTATATATAAGACCTTGACTTCTTGACTATGAATACCGGCCTAAGAACCGTACTAATGTATCTTGATATACATTTTATCTATGCGTATATTTTAATTTTCCAATAAATTTTCGCATTTTGCAGCATGTAAAGATAAACGACGATCTTATACATAAGACCTTGACTATGAATACCGGTCTAAAAGAACCGACTACTAATGTATCTTGATATACATTTTGTCTATGCGTATATTTTGCAAAATTGTAATATAACAGGATCTTGAACTCTGACACGAATTGTAGCTAGTGGACTTAATGTCACTTAAGCACTTTTTCCTTTATTTAATTAAAAACTAAAATAGCGTATAAAAACGCGATCTTCAAAGAAGTTTTACGAGTAAATAATTGCTTTTGGGATATCTTTTTCAGATACCAGAACGCTCGCGCGGTGGACGGTAAGGACGGAAAATGTTGGGGATGATTTGGGCCTTAGTGGTCCTGTGGTGGCTGCGTTTGAATCCTACTGGCCTGCTAAGTCCCAAGTTATCTCCGGCGTAAGCGCGATGGTGCCTCTCGCCGACTGAAAGAAACTGTCCAGCGAATATTTCCCTAAGTCTTAAAGGAACGCGCCCGTCTCTGAGACACAACGGTAAAGCCTTTAATTATGTAACGAATATACCGATGTTTATGTCTGTAGACAGTTGATTGGTAATAATAATTAGGGCATGAGAAGTGTAAGAAGAAAAATTCATTTCCTATTTCGATATTTCCAATTATGTTTCTCCTTTTTGTTCTACGTTTTAAAGAAAGTACAACAATTTGGCGTTTACAATAATAATTTCTCACTTTTTTATGTATTTTTCACAACGCTCGAACAATGAAATGTAAGAGAAAACAATAGCTGTTATTTCATTTCACACTTATTTGTTATTCAAAATAAAAGATCATTTAAAAAATATCGTTATTTAAGCGTTAAGAGTTCCAAAATCTCTTAAAGGAAACTTAAGAACTTATAAAAGTTCTTACGTTCAGGAACTCACATGGCCGGTATTCATAGTCCATTCTTATTTCAAGACCGTCTTAAGTAATGTCTTAGGATGCTAACACAGTCATTTTATTGGCCGGATGGAGTCTTAAGACTGCCTTTGACCAAACTTGACGATCTTAAATATAGAATCTGATTATAAATACCGGTCATATAATATGAAACTATGAAATAAAGTTTGACGATGTGTGAGAATATAGTATAGAATATAAGAGATATGTGCTTGTGTGAATATTACAATTCTTAAATGTTCCCATTATTTTGAGGAATTACTTTGAATTCAATTGTCACCTGTATACGTTTAGATATGCATGTGTGTGTCGTACGTAGTCGATCACCTGCAGCGATCACGGGAAAGTCAGATAAAATATATATTGACCTATGCAATAAATCTAATCGTAATTAATAATTTACGCAACCATTATTATCCGTCAATTCCTGCGTTTCCTAACTGTCCTTTTCGAATCTAAGTATCACCCCTTTTGCAAAAACTAAACTTTCTCCGAGATTTTTCAGAGAAACTTGCCGCAGATTTGTTAAAGAAAAAATTATTAAAATTAAAACAATTAAAAGTGTAAATCGTGATTGAGCGAAAATGGTTTCAGCCATTTATTTTACAACGATTAATCGGGATAAATTTAATTTTCATCATACCAGTCGTACCATCGTACCAGTCGAGAACTCGGCTAATTTTAAAATACATTGACTTTTTAAATGTCTCTTCTTTTCAGATTTTATTATTAATTATATAGTAATATCTTTATTTATTTGTTATTAATTACACAGCAATATTTTTAATTCCGATATGGTATAAAAGATACTTGTTGCCAATTAGGTATGTCTGATGATTGTGAATGTCCCGATTAAAAAATTAAATTATTAATAAAGGCGCAAGTTTTCGAGACGGAATTTGTTGAGGCAGCTTTGGGGTTTCTATGCGGCATGTGCCTCGACACGGAATGAACGCAATGCCCTTGGAAATCCCAAAGGAGTCCAACGCATCGCAACGACAATCGGAGGATGGATTTACGAGGACGATCTATTGGACTCACCGATTTTGCGCCGTCGGTCAGCAGCTCGGTTCTGCGGAATCTCGGATAATCACCGCGCAACGGGGTTTCATTGTCCTGAATCTGCCAATCAAGATTCTGCAAATCCAGCAGGAACCTATTCATTTTTTTCATGTGATTCCTGTAACGCAATACATTCTTGAGTTTATGCGGCTAATAATTTCATACTAGCGTTGTTTAATTTATCTCGAGCGCAGCTAAAATTTAAGTAAAAGTATAGAAAAAGTATCGGATCAAAATATTCAAGTGCAAATTATATTTTATATACTATATATAATACAATATACGATGTAAATACAACACGTACTCAAGTCGAATACTGCTCGAGATGTCAACTAAAATCGCCAATAACATAAAAGTTCTTTTAAGAACTTATAACGACAATAACATTTTTTTAAGTTATCTACTTGATGCGCTCAACAATTTTGCAAATTAATAATTTACAGAGAATTATTAATTTAATTTACTAGATTGTAATGTCACTAAAATTCCATTTTAGATTATAATTATTTACAAAAAAATTCAGTTATTAAGAAGCAATTGTTTTAGACATAAAATATAATCAGATTTAAAATTGCGCGGAAATAAAGTTCTACGTATAAAAAAACAACTCGTTTTTTTAAATATAATAATACTCTACTTTTACAAGTTTTTTTTACTAGAATATTACGTACCTTTGCAAGATTTGTCCAAATGATACGCACCACACCGTCCTTCCACTGATACCTACCAGCCGAAACTATTGTTAAATGTCGACTAGTCCAAACGGATCGCTAATTGAAAAACTATCAACATGTCGATTTACAGTCGTCGCGGTTAACAGTTTACAAGTATGAGGGATTCACATCAAGGTCGATCGTCGGAATTGTGATTGTATACTCGAGAAAACCGTGACGCGTTATGCTCGAATAAAGAAAATACTAATACACGTATATTTCTTAAGTATATTTACCAAAAAAGCAATTTTTAAATAGAATTTCGCATAAATTATAAATCGTGATAATGGAATAAAATAAATAAAACGTGACGTGGAAGAAACACCGTAGTTTAATGTCGAAATCCGAGAAATGCCGAACTTGAGCATATTATGTAAAGCAAGCGGATTTTCAAACGGTAATACGGAATCTAGGGACATGCTATGACGTTATATTAATATAGATAAAGGTACGCTTAGATGTTATCAGAAATAAAGGATTTATTAAGGATTTAAAAATATTTATAAATATCTCGAACATGTTGACATTAAACACACATTGACATTCGTCTAATGATTAGAAGTGGAGGTCAATGAAATCAAAGTATTTTTTTTCTTTTTTATTTTTGATTCAGCACGCGTTTCGGCGCTGTTACGTATTTGTGCATATATGCATTCGCTGCATATCATTTCGCTACTCAACGTAATGTTCCCCCGGAACACACCGCGGTTAATTCCAGGCATCGTTTTCCTCGAAAGCCTTCTTGTCAGCCACGACGGCTGCCGCTTGCTCCTTGCGTTTCTTGCGCCTTTTACCTGCATACGAGACAAATCGGGCCCGTTAATGCAAAGGGCAGAAATAAAAAAGAGCGTGTAATACTTACCCGTGGCAACTTGCCACTCGTCGTCATTCTCCGGTGCCTTCACGCCGTTGGCCGTCGACTTCTCGTCATCCTTCGCGTCCACGTTCCTGCGGACAATTCTCGTTATGTAACGCGTATATAAGAGTTTCCGTCAGCGTGGCAAATGTAATATCTTTCCGCCGAAAGTTGGGCGTAAAGAGGAACTCATTCACGCAGATTCTACCGATTTACATTCCCGCTTCCTTATATCCCGCGATATCGGCTCTATTTAACGAGAACGCACGTGCACACGTGATGCTGCATATTCATAAGTCGCGAGCCTCGCAGCAACGCAGTTCCGCGAGCGGCCCCGACACGCGCGTCGAGTAAATTCCTCGAGCGTAATGTATGATAATGCCAATAATGCACAACCGCGAGCGGGCGAGCGATCGGTCGGCCAGCCGGCCGGTCGGTCGATCCCTCTCTCTTTCGCGATTGCATCCACCGCGCTCGCGCGCCCGAGGTGCCTTCCTCTCGATGTCGACGTTAAAAACGTCGGCTCCTCGTCCGTTCAGCCGCAATTTCCCTCGATCGTGGATTTAAAAGCGTATCTTATCTCTCAACTGGTGCCGAATAATAGTGCCTAAAAGGGGTTCTTCTTCATCCATCGAGCCGACTCCGGAAACGATCATCCCTAGGCAGACCGACAGCTTCTCTTAGAGCTTAAATCGACCGATTGTAAATTCCATGTCCTCTCAATGACCATTCTACGCTTCTTAGAAACACCATCCGTCTGTCCCCCGCCGTTGTGACCGCGACGTTTCTTGTCATTCGACGTTCAAGTCGTTCCGCGGCACGGAAACGCGTGCACGCGCGGCGCGGCGCAGCGCAGCGGGGGAGAGTTACGAGCACGGTGATTGCGAGCACGTGGGCGATTCATTAATATCGTGTCGCTCGCGAGACTGAGTAATGTTGTGACTACAATGCGGTGGAGAGACTGCAGAGCGGTTAAACGAGAAAAGGAGATACATATATATATGTATATATGGGCTGTGCTCGGCGGACGAAGACCGCGGCTAACGACAGTTGACTGGAACATGTGCCCGGTGTATTGATTACCGCGGCCGGTAGTACCTCGTTAAAGACTTTCTCATAGACGCGCCGCTTTAAACGCACGATTGACTACTTGCTGCCATTCGAGGAAACACGGTTTTTTTTTGCAAAAAAAAAGAGGAAAAATCTTCAGTCCTCTTCTCGGAAAATATTACGGACGACATATTTTTAGTAGTTGATAATTTCTTTGCTTTCCGTCATCCGATTACCGAACGCGCGTTAGATGTTATTTTAGTAATCCGAGATATATTAAGAAAATAAAAATGAGCGCGGATTTAACTGGAATCCTTTACATTATTAGTATAACGTAATCGTGGCGTTTAATAAAGCAAAAAATTAAAAGATGCAAAAATATTAAACGATTTACATGATTTCACGCTTCTACACGTTATTCTATGTAATTCCCATAGATATACCAGTCACTCACACGCCGATGATATTTTGCAAACCGGACCAGGGGGGCAAGAGGAAGAGAAGGAAAAGGTAGGAAGAGGAGGCGCAGGCAGGATGAGAAGAAGCAGAAGGGGAAAGGGAGAAGAAGAGCAAGAAGACTAAATAGGCCTAGTAGAGGAGAGTAAGCGTCGCGTGCATTAATTCAGAACAAGGTCTACAGCCCTATGCAAATCTCTCGTGTACAGGAAATCCTAGGAGGCCGCCTAGGGTCTTATCCCTCTCTCTGTCTTTCTATCGTCTTGGAAATCATACCGGACTTATAACGCGTTATTCATCCTTGCGTTTAATACATCTCGCACGAACGTGATAGCTCGCGGCGGAAAATAAATTGCGATAGAGACCATTCATTTTTGGAACACGAACGCATACGATTTCCAAGATTGCGACGTAATGTAAACATATACATATATATCCCTACCCTGTGAAAGATTTATACAAGACTGACAAGACTCTTATAAAACCTTGCTTTTCTCTAAACACTAAGTTAACTGTGTTAACATTAGAATTACCAAGGGGGTCAAAATGATCCGTTTGAAATTTTTTAATAATTTATTACTTATTTTTAAAACATCTTAATTTCTGAAATTTTCTCTGACTTTTATTAAAAATAGATGATTAATATTAATAATTTATTTTCTCTTTTTCTGTTTTTTTTCCAAGATTTCTTCGGTAAAAATAAATATAGATTAATCTCTGGTAGTTAATAGTGTTAATTTAGAAACAGAAAATCATTTAACATCAATTTTGAATCTAAAATTCACAGTAAAATTCTCTGAACACAACATAGGAAAACGTTTAGAAAAGGTTTTTTTTTTAATTTGTAGTAAAAGAATCCGAAAGTTAATTTTAACTAAAATAGCGAATTTGATTGGATGCACTCAGTGCGCACTGGTGCATATTAAAGCTGTTGTACACTGATTTAACTTCTAATCTTTAAAGTAAAATGCAAATATCTCGACTGATCAAATGCCCAATACATATTTTATCAAATAGCACAATAAAGAATACTGAGGATTTCGTGATTTAACTTGTTTATATTAAACATGCACTTTATATATATATATATATATATATATATATATATATATATATATATAT